CTAGTTCTCTTCTAGCAGATTAACTCTCAAAATGGGGTGCTTTTACTTCCAAATTTTCCAAGGGTCTACAAAAAAGAATAGGAAAAAAAAAAATAGCGGACGGGCTGAAATGCAGCAGGAGATGGTAAATTAATCTGCATTTTACAGCAAAATCCAGTAGGAAATCCAGGGACACCCTGAAATCACTCTAGCAGTATAACCTGCTACCAGAATGCCAATGTGGGCAGGTGGGAGTGAATGAAAGAACCAGAGATAAAAAATCACAACCAAAACAGCTAACATAATGCTCTTGTGTCCCAGGTAAAGAAGTCTGCCATGTCGTCTCTGCCTGACAGAGAGTAGGCAGGAACAGAATCAAGCTCCAGAGGAAAATAAAAGCACTGGGGAAGACTTTGGTGAAGCACCGAAGTGTTTAGGAGAAACAAGGGTCTACATTCACACTCTGGCATTTGATAGGCCCAACTCCAAATGATTTACACATGCTCTCAACCCTCCTGAGCCAGAGCCAACTTTCCTCCAAATAACTCCCTGCAGCCCAGAGTGCAGAACCATAGAGAGAGGCACGGGAGCAGGATGCAGGCAGGTAGCTGTTTTCTCCCTGGCATTGCTGCATAGGCTGGGTTAACATTATACTTCCCCGATTCAGTTTTTATAGACCAAACAGTAGCAAGTTCCCTCCCTCAGCGGTATGTCGAAGCCTTTCCCTGAAGGAGGGGTTAGTTCTCTATCGTGTTACTACCTGCTGGATATTTTTTCTGCTGTATCTCCTACCCTGCGATTGCATTTTGCTCAGCCAAGCTTTTGGTGCTCAGAAATGCAACTGAGTTCTTATTTGCAAATGCAGTGTAGTTCTTACTGCAGTCTCTCCCGTAAGTTTCCTCTGATGGGGCCCTTGACCTCCCAGCAGCACCCTGGTGCAATCTGAGCCCTGGATTTAGGACAAGCTCTGGATCTGACAGGGACACATCAGACTGAATCAGGATTGACTGCCAAGCCAACACCATGGAGAATTGCACCCAAAGCTGTTCAAGCAAATGGTGTTTCTGAATCGGCACCAGCCGGCTGCCCTGATCCTGCGGTTTGATCTGCTAGATCCAGAGCAGCCTGGTTTGCACTCATATCACTGTGCTTAAAGAACAGTCACTTAATCTCACTTAGAAATGTTTACTTGCGAGGACCAGATGGCCCAGGGAGTTGGGCTAAACAAAGCATTTTACTTCTAGGTCACACATTCTAATCCAGTCCAGGTTGGTGATAAATGAACATATTCACCTGATAGCCACTTTTGGCTTCATTTTTGGTGTTTTTCAGGCTGGTTTCCAAGGGAAGATGTGACACCACAAAATCTCCCTCTGTGCCCTGCCACAGTTGGTACTGATTTGACTGTCTCTGTAGAGAAGCCAAGGATCAAATGCTCCATGGCGCCAGACTGTTTTCTTTTGCAGGCTGCAGGTAAGGGGAAGTTGTCCTGTGTCTGGCTGTGTCATGCCTGCTCTGCGGATGGGCAGGATTTCAGTTTGCAAAGCTGCCAGTCCAATCCCCTCCACCAATGTGAAATTCATTAAAAAAAATAGGGAAATGTTTAATTGTAGTTGACATATAGGCACTCTCTGCTATGAACTTTACACGCAGTCACAGATAACAGCATCAAAATTAATGCCTGCTTCCCACTTGTCCTGCTATAAGCAATAAACGTTTGGCAAGTCAGTAAATAACAAAATTCTCATGTGGCCATCTACAGGTCACCAGGATACTTAAGAAGTTTGCGTTAATTATACCATGTTTGCCATCAAAGAGGGGATATTAACCCTTTCGAGCTGTTGCAGGAAAGCAGTGGAGTCATTTGGAAGTAAATAAATGAAATCTCATCACTAAAAGTGCAACCTTTGCAAAATAATAAAAAAAAAGAGATGTTCAAGGCAAAAACCTCACTAGACATCATGGAAAATACAGTACCTTTTCAGCTTTCCTTTTATTTATTTTGTATTTTGACATCAAACACTCCCTGTAACCTAATCTTCTTGGCTTTTGATGTGGCCGTGGAGACATGACAATTAAGCACGGCTTAAAACAATAATCCCAACAACGGGAACCAAAGGCAAGTAATGTCAGGGTTCCCCCCTCACAAAAAGCCTGTCCCCCAGTGTTTGGTGGTAGTGAAAGGACTTTAAATCCCAATTTGTTGCCTCGATATCTGCTCTGTGCTTACGCTTTACGTTGAACTTTACACACTTGCTCCATTTCTATTCCCTGCTGTTTGTTTTTCTTCCGCTATGCAAAATGTCTGGAGACAAACACGATACACACGTTGCAGAGAGATGGTTTGATCTTTCACAGATTAGTGCCACCTGACAAACACGGGATTATTTGTTATCTGTGTTGCAGGAACCGCTGAAGACCCCGCTTAGAAGAGGCATGCTCCTCTGGGCGCTGGGGGGGCTGCAGCACCCCTCCTGACAAGCTGATGGATTACGGCCCTGATTCTGTGAGCGAATCGGACCGACCCGGCAAAACGCCTGCAGAGGGGCAACACCAAGGTAAACTCTCATCAAAGTCTGAATGGGTGCGTAATGTGCAACTAAAGCAAATAGCCTGATTATTCTAACTTATTTTAAAGTGATGTTGTTAGTTCTCCTGTTCTCTCCTTGTCTCAGCTATTCAAATATGGAGGAAGAGTGGCTGAGTTTACTTATAACCGTGTTTTAAACCTGTCAGAAAACAAACGGTTTCTTTTTAAATGAAGCTTGCACGGTATGCTACAAACTACCTTTTTTTTTTTTTACGGGTGTTTGCACTAAGCCTCACTAAACAAGTTAGAGAGATGATTAACTCGTCTGAAATGATGCGGGAAGGCCTCGTCCCCGTTGCGTGTGCTTTCTTCAGCACATCCAGAGCTGCTGCGACTCCCTGTCATTCACGAGCAGGGCTTGCAAACAGGGCTGGGAAGGAGGCTGCATGGTTAAAGAGAAGCAGTGATAGAAAGGGCTTGAATTTGCACGCACACGCTGAAAAAGGAACTCGGGTTATTTTTTTTCTTAATGAGTAAGGAGTTATCCCCAAGTTGGTTTCCACAGAAGTGAGACGCAAGTCCCGGGGGGTCAAAGGAGGAAACCCAAAGTTCATTAGCAGTTTTCTTGAAAATACTGGTTTAGTAGCAACAGTACTCACCCCTACACCTGGCGGGGGGACTTTGCAAGACTTTGCTTCACTTTGTAAGGCCCCAAGGAGTTCCTTGCAAGACTTTGCTTCACTTTGTAAGGCCCCAAGGAGTTCCTTGTGTGGGTCACACTCGACCGTGTAATGAAAGCAGCCACAAAGTTTTGGCCACGTGAGAGCTGCCTGGTAAGCACTCTTCTCCATCCTCACGTGCCAGCCCGTGTGTGCACCCCCTGCACCCACAGCTGCACCCCTTGTTCCCAGGACAGCACCGAGCAGCTCCGGGCTGGCCATCCCCCCTTGCTCCCTTCACACCACTGATGACGCCAAATGGTAAGAAACAGGTTTCCAGGTTGACAGTGTTGCCTGTTTACAGCAGTGCAAGAACCTCCAGAGAACTTTGTCCGGTCTAATACAGGCCCTGCCTTGAAACCCATTAGGCAGCTGGCTGCTTTTCTGCATTTACGGTGCTTTTAAAACTTGTTTTTAATGAAAAATATTTCTCCACTTTAAAAAAACAACCCAAAAAACCAACAAAAAAGTCCAGAGAAACCACAGTTCATCATCTGCAATGTGGCTGCTGTCTTAGATTTTAAACTGGTTTAGAAACTTTCACGCACTTAACTGCATGACCTCGTCACCCCAAAACAACACCGGAGAATGAGCTTTTGTACCTGTGCTTTTTATACTAAATCATTCACCAACTACTTTTTTTGTCCTACCTGGTAGGTTTTTGAAATATCAATAGACCGCTCTGCATAAAGTTTGAGCTAATAATTCTACTGGCAACAATGACGACGATAATTTTTCCTCTCTCCCTATTAAAAGCAGCCTTTATGACATGGAGCTGGGCACAGGTACTTTGACAAAAAAGGTATTTTATTATTCTTAGCAATATTCACCTTGAAGGAATATGAGGAAAGCATACACTTTTTACAGACAATATATAAACATGTTGTACATAATTAACAATAACTTAGTTCACTAATCCAAAAATAAGCAAAATAAAAAAATTAAAATAAAAACAGAAAATACTGCAGAATTTTTTTATGCTGATACAAGTACAAAATAATTTAAATCTCGACTGCCGTTGTCTATGCTGCAGTGACTGACAATATATTGCACTGTCAACTGTATCAGTAATCCCTGTCTTCCACCCACATCCCTTCCCCCCCCCCAAATCCTACAGAAATTTGAGTTGGGTACAAATAATGTACAACTGTACCATTGTAAAAGGTAAAAAGTAAAAAGGACCCAATTTTTTACCTCAGTAGATTAAAAATTCCTATGATTTCTCCCAACCAATTTAGTTTCCCGTTTATTTCCACTTCTTTACAAAGTGCACCTATATGCCTACACAGACCAGAAAAAGGAGGAAAGCAGGATTTTCATGGCTGCTTGTTCTTAATTATCAAATATTTGAATTACACGTTTAGAAAAAAAATTAACTTACATCCATTTTTATTTGTTTCATTGTGTTTTTTTCTTTAAAGCAGGACTTTTGCAGTAAAGATACAATTGGCTTGATCCAAAAAAAAAAAAAAAGAAAAACCCCAACAACAAAAAAGTTAAAAAATTTTAAAAAATAAAATAAAAAGCTTGTCACAGAGTTAAGCTTACGTGGTTTACATTATCAAACCCCTCTGTTCATTGGGGCATTTTCATCAGAAGTATAGCTAAATATGTACATTGTATGTTATACTGGAGCTTGTGTTCACGAGAGGCATCAGATCATAACAATCAATAGAATACACTTCACATTGGCAATAGCTTTGTTTCGGTCATTTACGTACAATATGGTTTAATAATGGGAGATTCAGGTTTTTTCTTTTTTTGTTGGTTTTTTTTTTTTTTTTTCATATAAAACACGCTATGGAAAACGGACATTCTCCTTAGAATGATGCTTTCCCTCATCTCATTAGCCGTCGCTGTGTTTGGGATTTGACGGATGTGTGAAGCTCAAACTGATTGTCTCTCTCTTTCCCCTCTCCAGTGATCTCAACCTCATTTCTGCCCTTCCTCCCTGTGAAGTCCACTGGGGCCTGGATGCCCGAGACAGCACATGTGCTGGCCGGTTGCGTGTGGATGTGGTGGCCACACTGCCGCAAGTTTACCCAAGCAGCTAATCTGCATTTTTAAGCAACAGCTGCCAACACAACAGAACAAAAATGCTTCAACCTCTGAAGTCTGCGAGTTGGATGTTTTTATGCCCTGTGATGGTTTTTGCTGTGCTAGAAGTTAGCTGCGACAGTTTGGTAAATGCTTGTATCTCACCCCTCGCTAGTGCAGGATTGCCTTCCCCGAGAGTTTTTTCCTAACAGTTTGCCTGACCTAGCTGTCTGTTTTGAGGAATAATAGGGTAGTTGGGAGGGGGGCTGTTATTTTTAAAATAAATCTTTCCTGTTAGGGAAAAGAATGAAGAAATTGCGTCAAAATAATCACCATCTTGGGCACATTAAAATCCCGTATTACAGCTACATTTTTGCTTTGTTCCCCCCGCAATCTTTTCCCCCTTCCTAGTGGATATTTTGGTATGGAAGATAGACGGAGCTAATCCAAGGGGGCTGCTGAATATGTTCCCCCCCCTCTCCCCTTGTTTTGAAGGCAGGTTTTCTTACAGGGTAGCCATTGCAAACAACAGCACAAAAACATGCAATCAGAGGGGTTGAGGCTTTTTGTGGAAAACAAGAGCAAAATAAATATGACTTTGTGTCTGATTTCATTTGAAAAATTACGTTTTATAAAGATGTCCTTTTTTAATTTTTTTTTCTTTTTCCCCATCCCAAACAAAGTCCACGATAGAAATCCAGCATGTCTGGCTTCCAGTGAGCCGATTCCATCCTGGGAGGCTGCTTATATCTCTTTACAATATTCACAGTAATAACAAAGAGAGAAAGGAAAGCCAGTTCCAAGCCTTTTCCTTCAGCTTCTGCCATCTTTTGCTTCCTGCTGGACCATTAAGTATTGAACAGGTGAGTTCTTTTTCCTTATACCTGAGGGGGCAAAGTGCATTACAGGCACCACTACACGTTTCTGCAGAAGACCCATCATTTGCAAGGTTTTAGTCCAGCATTAAGAGTTAAACCACATGGGAGCAAAGATCCCCTTTTGCCATCCCTACATTCTCCTTTTGCAGAACATTTTCTTACTTGGTGTCGTCTTAGGCAAAGCCCCATGTTCTTAATCTCTGGGTGGGTCTCTTGGTCATCAGGTTTTATCCCATGGCTGTAACCATGCTGGATGGGTGTGGATGTCCAAATGAGATGCTGGAAGATGGGTGGATGGGGGTAGGTGTTGGTAGGATGTGTCCAGAGTGGCTGAAAGGTGGCAAATGCCCCATGGGCGCCATGTGACTAGCAAGGGCAGCAGCGCTGAACGGAGACGATTTCTCCTGCATGCACTTGGACAGTTCCTCAAAACACTCGGAGCCTTTCTTGCTTTTCTTTGATTTGTTGGACATTTTCCTATTCCTGGTCTGAATTCCTTCCTTTTTCATGGTCAGAGGCCTGTTCACCTGCAAGAAATGAGAAAATCAGGCTCATGCAGACAAAATGACCTTATTGTGCAAAAATGAAAATATTTGGACAGCCCCCATGTGTTTTTCCTGGATGGAGACCTTTTTCTGGCCAAAAAAAATGGTGTTTCTCTCTGCAGAACTTGTTTATATTGATTCGTTTAATAAAACCACACACACAAAAAAACACTGGACATGAAAAACAAATTGAACTGAATTTGGCAGCTGATGACTCTTT